CAGCTATCACACTTCTTCAGAAATCTTGCGACTTCCCCAGGAATTCTCCCAGAGAAGCCCAGTCTAAATAAATAATGCTGTTCGGCTTTCCGTTCCCCTTCCCACCAACGTCGCCAATATGTGCTTTTGTTACTGGCTCTCTGCGTCAGTGCCATACGAACCGACCAGTTGCCACAAGCCAGATACGGCCTCGGCTTCAAATAGTCTGTAACACATTTGGCTCCACATGCAGGAGCTATCGTTAATTGCCTGTGTTTCTCAAGAAAAATGTTTCACAACCTGGATTACCCCTTTTCTGTCCTTCGATGTCTATGACGCGGGCGAAACAACGCTCCATCTTCTCCTGAACCTGGTGTTTCTCATCTCCTCAGTGCTCCCACGCTCATTCTTCCCCATCATCATCCGCCCATTTCATTCATTCATATATTCACCAGCTTTCAGGTGTATTCAAATCAAATAATCCGCTTTCATATGCTAAATCTCTCACACAAATTCTCTTGTGTGAACCGCAAACAATAAGCATTGAGCTAGAAATTGAAATCAAAAAAGGAGAAAACACCTACATTCGTTAATTTTTCCATTCTATCCGTTCATATATATCGTCCACTTTCATTGCCAAATATGCGTTCATTTATTTCTCTATCGGCCTTTCTTACTTTCCTTTGCATTGGCGTGGCGAATATAAATGTCGCTGCCGCCGACAGTGGCAGCTCCTCAAAATGCCAGGCCCAGAAGTACGTGATTTCTTTTGTTGATAAGACTTGCGCGTGGCCAGGGAAAGACCAAAACTATGATGAAAAAACTACAAAAACTAGAGACGGAGATCAATTGTGAAGGTTGAAATATATACAGAATTCCGTTACTAACCAAAATCCCGAACACTCAGTATTCTCGATGCTTGCCTGAAATCCACCAATCTCCTTCTTTCGACCTGCGCCGTGCAAGATTGGATCTGCCTCTGTGACAAATATACCGCTATCCTAACGTACGATATATTCACTACTCATCGCAAGCCCTAGCCCCGTCAAGTTCCCCTTTCTATCACAGTTCCTTCCAAAGAATAGCAATCACAGAGAAAGATTTTTTTTTTTTTAAAAAAAAAAAAAAAAAAAAAAAAAAAAATGATAATGTTCAACGCTCAATTACTAACTCGTCCGAAACACGAATGTAGCTGCTACAACAATTGTCCCCGGGACCCAGGCCGGTTCGGCGTAGATTCCGCAAAAGTCGCGAACTGCAACGCTGCGGATACTCTCCGAACAACCACTCCTGTATCGACCCTAAAACCCACTGCGACGGAAAATACAGGTGCCGCCTCCCAAACTTCGGGGGAGAGCACTGCTACCGGCACGGGAGCAAGCAGTTCAGCTTCGGCCACAGGCAATGCGGCTGCAGGGATGGTTGTTGTTGGTGGTGAGATGGGAATGGGAGGACTCGTTTGGATGTTGCTTGCGGGGATTGGGTATTTGATGTGAAAGTCGTGTGTGGGGGGGGTGGGTTTGGTAGTCAAAAGGTTTGTTGTAGCTTGGGGCGTTAGGGGGGATCCTGTAGAATGTTTGCAAGTAAATTAATGGGGATGGTCACTAATTAATTCAGTTGGGGAAGTTGGCATTCCTTTGCGTTCCCTTGGTGGAGCTGACGCTCGTTTCGTTACAAGGTCGATTTTTCTGATTTTCTCAGTTGAGCCCGTGGGAGGATTGCTGAAAATTCATCGAGGAGAGGAATTGAAGCTACCAGGCGTGAATTGATTACTTTTTACATTTCCTAGGACACAAGGAATGGATGTGCGCTGTGTTTGGTGAAACGAGGATGGGGAAACTCAAGGGGCTTGTAAGAATAGTTAATTTGTGTGTTCAATAGGCCGTCTTCGGGGTTTATGGCATATTACCAAATTCGCCAGTTGGCTTGATTTCAATTTTTTGCTCAAAGTATTCATTGAAAGTTACATAGTAAGGCAATGACTTTCCTCCAATCACTCTCCTTGAGCTTTCTATGAAAGCTCCCATCCTCTCCTCCTTTTTCCCCTTTCCTACATTTATAGCTTTCAAATTACCAGTTGCAAGCACGGGTACTGCACCGAAATCATCGGCATTCCCATCCCCTAGGTTGCCGTTATAGTTGTTTCCTTCATCGCTTCCTCATACCCCGACACGTCAAGATGGCCAATAACGAACGCCACTCTCTCAATATCCAGCACGGAGATATTTTCCTTCTTGCTCCCCAATTTACCACGGCCGTCTCCTACGCCCCCCTTTTCGTTATGAATCTGATTGACCCTCTCCCTAAGCTTCCTCACAGCTTCCCACAACTCTCGATATTCTTTCATGTTATATTTGATTTTAGACTCCGTCATCGCTGGTGACTTCCCCTTGGGTCTCGGACCACCACCATCTCTCCCACTGTTGCTGCTGTTGGGGAAGTCATGCGCATATTTATCCAGGCAAAGCCAATTGAAAAGCTCGTCACTGAAAAACGGGGCCGCATTTATATCCATGCTAGATGGATCATCTGAAGACGTTTGACAGGGTGCACTAGACAAGAAAAGGGATGCAGTTGCCGGCCCCACGCCCCTGAGGGGACCTGTTAGCGTCTCGAGTGGCGCGGCGGGGAAATTTTCGTCGCCTGTATTGGATAGGACACTCCGCAGTTGCGAGAAGGCCATCCTGGTAGTGGACTTCACGAGGGATTCTGGATTTGATCGTATCATACCCATCAGGGCTGGTCGGTGGGAGCCATGCTTACTGCGAAAATGTCATGAGCACATTGCGTGTGACAGATGGAACGATCACGGAGCAGACTTGGTTGGGTTGGGATTGGGATTGGCACATACAGTTTCCAGTCCATAAGATTGACTATCTCATCCTTCTCTAGAAAGGGACCCGGAGCGGGTGAGCCATCATCATCCTTTGATACCTTTATCTTTTTCCTTGGTCTTTTCACATCTTCTTCCTCCCCCTTTCCTTCGTTCTTTTTACTGGTGTCTGTAGCAGAGCCAATTCCAGCTCTATTTTTCAGAGCAGCAGGTATAATCTCATAGCGCAATTTATCTAATTCCAAAAAGGCTTCGACTTCCATTTCTATAGTTTCTTCGGGTTTTTTTTTCGTCCTAGACCGTTTCGAAGAATCTTTCGCGCCCGCTTTCGGTGTAGACTTGGCTATCAGCTTAGCCCTGTAGAATTCTCTGATGGTGTGGGGATAGAGAGATAGGAGAAATGAAATGGTGGCACGGGAGATTTTGGCTGGCGCGAGGGGGCTTTTTGAAGCCATTTCCTGTCTTGTTTCGTTGCTGGCGATATAACTAATATTTGCAGAAATAAAGAAACGAGTTGTCCTTCTCTAGCCGTTGCTATATAACGGCGAAGGGGGCTAGGCACAGCAGATTCCAGCCTACGTTCAGATGTTAGATGAGGTGACGATAGTAAAGGAAGAGAAAAATCCGTATAATAAATTCCACCGCTCCGAGACAAGGGAAGCCTCCTTTGATAACCTTGAAGGCAGCAAGCAAATGAGAGTGGTGTAGTGATTTCCCTCCACTCCGGCTAGGACGAGGCCGACAATTTCATATCAGCGACGGACTTCCCAGACAATCAATCTGCGGGGTTCCTAGAGACCTGGGGGACGGCCGCTTGTCCGATGAATACCATTCAGGATTTATTTCAAAAAGTAGCAGATATATGGTGTATATACTATTGGTGGAACTCTGGAGAAT